ACAAGCACCAAAAATATTCTTTTCATCAGAGTTTTTTGGCCCCCAATGTTCACTGGAACATCCGAACTGTCTGATTCTCTGTGCTCTTTCGAGATATACATTTACACCCCACGTAGAAGTACAGTTCCGGATAAGATTAGAAAATGATTGACCACAATGCCCAGGCCACGGCGTGGCTCCTCTGCCATTGCTGATCTTCCAGCACAACAAATGTCAGAACCCTTGAGACCTTTTAAAGTCGAGGGTGGGGGGGGGGGGTGGGTACGCTCTGGTTTCTGGCCTTGTAAGGCTGTGTAAGTTACGAGTGGACTTTTAAACCTCATTCCAAAAAAAGAAAAAATCAATAAACATGACAAACGTCAGGAGGCTAAAGAGTCTGCCTCGAGCTGAGATAGAGCAGGGGCTTCGAGGCAAATAAACAAAACTCTGTGGAGGGAAGAAAAAACTAAAGAAACTAAAGCTTGTACCCTTGACCTTTGAATAATTCTGAATATTTTTGGCGTTTTGGTCCTTGACTGTGTTTTTCAGCAGGACAGTGCCAGGCCTCTGCTCCACTTACATCAGTGTGTCAGCTTGGCAGCTCACAGTCCAGATCTGTCTGCTGTTAAAATGAGTGATGCATCCTGTAGAGGAGGGGACAACAAACAGGAACTATACAGAAGCGGACTCTCCGTAAATGTTCTGGAAATAGAAGAGGTAAAACAAGCTCCTGCCCACTTTTTGATGAGCAAAAAGCAGTCGTTTGGAGTTTCAGTGCTACAGTTTACAACTGACTTTTTCATCAAGTGAACAGTAATTCAAAAAAGCATCCCTAGATTTGTATTGTTATAAGCTTTATGATTCAGTTCAGTGCAAAAAAGTCACACAAAAGAATCATGTGTTCATTCTGAAGAATACTGAATTTATTTCAAAGTATATGAGAAGGGGGAGCAATCCAGGAAAAGACCATTTAATGCAACGATACCAAATAGTTTGCATTGTGCAAAAAGAGAGACAGACACAAATGTAAATACATATCCAGTATGGACATAAATTAAATTAGCCAACAGGTAACACTGGTTAATGAAACTGACATTGTGTTCTCGTTCACATAGAAACCTAAACCTGAATTACCATCCTTTATGGCTTACCAAAAGCAATACACACCCTTTATGAGCCCTATGAAGATTAATATTACATGCTTTGACTTGTAACTTCTTCTCTGTAACTTTTCACAGGGGCTCTTAAGGCCTGTGCTGTTCAGATTTAAAATAGTTTGTTTTAGAGGATATATTTATTCCCAACACATTCTGTGACCACAAACGGTTGCATACAAGTGATCCACTGCTGCATGACGAGAACGATAAAAATGCAGTCTAACTGCTACTGGAAGCTACAGTTTGCCTGGCATCACTTTATGACAGCCCTGTTTAATTAGCCGTGCGGAGCCGTAAGAGCCATTTTAGAATGATGTATAATGTTGAAATCATGCATTGATTAAAGGCCTCTGATTTCTTGCTCTAACATTAAAGCATTGCATCCAGACACTGTTATTTGAATCATTTTAAACCTGGTTTAATCTTATGCTTTTGTTGATCACTTGTTGTCCAACTAAGCACTTCTTGACAGTGATAAAAAAGCATACATTTTAACAGAAATTATGATAAACAACTAAAAAACAATAACACAAAATGGACACCAATATTACCACAATCATATACAAACCTGAAGATTAATGTTGGCACGTATTTTCATTTACAAGAACATTTTGTAATTTATCAGCTCAGCAGTTTTGATATTTTTACAATATGTTTGAGTTTTTAGAGAAGAGAAATGTAGATTAAATGTTTTTATTTGATATTGCCTGAAAAGTTAAGAGGCATGCACAGTAATATTTGAAAATACCAACATTTTAAATCATAATCAAAAGATGGACAAGCAGTTCTGGTAAAAGTGAAGCCTTGATATACATAAAGAGTTCTTTTTTTAAGGTCAATACATTTGCATGACTTTCTGTTGCAAACATGAATGCATTGCATTACCCTCATGGCTCTACTTGTCTCTGTTACTTTACAGATCCTCTTACAGGGCTCCTCTTTTTATCTCCTTCATCTGTGCAGATAAGGGGTCGACTACTCATGGGTTTGAAAGAAGATTAGTCTTTTTATTTCTTCACAAGCTGAAGCGGCTTAGTTCTGCACCAAATTAAAACGACAGGTTTTGAAAACATGCAGTTCAATGTGGTAATTAGGTTATTTTTGTATTTGCATACTTCATTATTTCTGGTATTTGAATATCTGGACTAAAAATGTGAAGTCTGATGTCTGATTTTTAATCCATGTCACCAATCTTATGGATTCTTCAGTTATTGTTTTTCATGGCTTTGAGGGCAATTCCTCAACATTTGCTTTCATATCTGAAAATTCTGTCAGTTTTTTAAGAATTTTTTTCACTTATAATGTAATAATGTAATTTTCTGTTGTTCTGGTTAAAGATGATTGCCAGTCCATATTTGTTTAATTAAATAAAACATCTGCTCAAAGAACCTCTACAACAATTAAAGCGAAAGTTACACAGGCCTCTGAATGGCTTGTTAAGAATTGATATATGGCAGTGAATCAAACTTAAAAATGTCCCTGATCTCATTTCTTAGAGAAGCAGAATTACACTCTATTGAAGAGAAAAGCATGTAATGGTCCATGGTTCTGCGTAACACATCAGTGGAGCAGTGTTTTAGCTCAGAGTTACCTTATGTTTCAGCATTTACATCTTTGTCACCCCATGCCATTAGTGGATTAATGGTGTTACTGGAACAATTCTGTGCACACTGACTCTGCACGGGAGGCACCGGGGGAGCAATGAAACAGCAGATAATTAACTCAGGGACTGACCGAGTTAGTCATATGAAGATAAATTATTCAGTATTTGGAAACTCTCTCTCCTCATATTACAGGCAACATAATAGCGACTCACAGAAACATTAGAGATTCGTTTCTGTCCATTCCATAACCATACTGGGTCATTACCATCTGGACAGACTTGGGAAATCAGAAGATGTGGAAAAAGACATTTGTTTCCTTTATCAAGTCAGACAAAGGTAATGATGAAAAAAGTTTTTAAATGGAGCTAAATTTTCAGACAATAACTCTTGCCTTTCTTTGTAGTTTTTTATGAAAATAAGTAAATAAATAAATATATTTCCCCCCATTTTTTGTTGCTTATTGCTACTAATGATGAATCAAACATCAAATACAACACGATGGACAATTAAGCATGATTCAACTATTCAAATACTGCATATAAAAACAAGATCTGTTAGTTCTGTGTTACATTTTGTGAAACTTGTCTTTGTTTTAAGGTTTTTGTTCCAATGCTCTTTGTTCTTCCGAATGGCATTCCTTGTTTTTCTCATTCTTGCTCTCTGCTCTCCCCTCCTGGCCACAGACTCCGATTACCATACCAGCATCGATTGAGTCATCATAGCGTTGAATCTGCTTTTGGGTCTTTGCTAGAACAACTGAACACAATCCTCTTGAGAATCAAACAACATGTTAAGGAAGAGTGGAAAATCCCCACAAGCCATGAAACTGACCTTGAATACTAATAACTGAATCTAGATATGGTGCTTTGTGGGTATGAACATTTTGGAACAAGAAAACAAATTGTCTCCTGTCTCTAAGGCATTGTGGTGGACTTTCCACCACCACAGACTTTTTTTTTTTTTGCTGTGCCTTTAAAATTTTTATTCTGCCTGCAGCATAACTTGATAGGATAGTTGTAGACATCTAACTGCTATACGTTTGGACTGGAAATTACTTCATGACTTTTGTACTAAACCATTGAATGCATTCACTTAAAACTACAGCTCAGGCTATGTGTGATTTAGCAGGAGTCTGGAGAATGATTCAAATGTACATACATTCTGCCTTGTTTGGTTAAGATTTTTTTTCTTGTACACAAGGGCGATGGAAGGATTAGTCAAAAAATATTTATTACACTGATTAAACAACAGAAGGTCTTCAGTCACAGGTTTCCTCGGGTTAACTGTAATATATATTTACAGATGTACATATATTTATGTTATTTATTACATCTGTTTGGGTATGTTATGAAAATACTTGGGCTGAACTTTTGACAAATGAAGCAAAATGTTGTACGAGGGCTATCATGCAGTGGAGAACGTTTATCTCCAATAAACGAAAAAAAGATAAATATTAGAAAACTGATAGCTGACGATAAAACTTATAGCTGACAGTGAAAACAACAGTGTTTGGTTTGAGGTGAAATGTACATGTAGACTTATTGTTTGTAAGGTAACGCACTAACCGAGTGTAAAAATGAAGGTAGGCGTTCAAAATGAGCCCCTACAGTCTCCTACTACTACGTCATCCATTCGCCAACGTTCGACCTCGCGACATTTGAACGGTTTAACGTTCGTCCAGTAACAGTTTTCAACGGCTACAACAGAATATAACTACGGTCCGAGGAAGTACTCTAACAATTATTTTCTATGAGAAACAATACTCCAGTAAATGTGGGAATACGTGGAATCATGAAAATTTGGTATGTGCTGACATTTTTTAAAAACATTAATAGAGATATCACTGTTGTTAGCTAGCGTAAGTCTAATTGGTTAATTGAAAAACTTGAGCTAGCATACCATTCGACCTAGTGAAGGAAAACAAATTGTCACGGTAGTTTATTAGCTCACCAAAGTAAGTTTGAATAATTTACAACAGGCTTAGATTTTTTATTGATGTCCTCTCTACAACTTACAACTCCTTACTTTCATTAGTTTTCAAAATGCCTGAATCATGGATGACATTATGCGCACCAACTTGTGGGAACCGTTGGGATTAACGGTTGCGTTCTTTAAGGGAATAATGCTGATCATTTCATTGTATTTATTTCTCTTAATGACATTAAAAGAAAGAAAGTATGAATTATTGATAAAATATGTATTTTTCAGATAGAAAAAGTCCTGGTTATTTCAACAGTAAAGGAATATACTAATTTTCATGATGGACACACAAAACCCTAAAATCAACAAGTCTGGGTCACAGGTAAGTTTTTGTTGATTTTTATTAAATTTAGGCATTTTCAATTCCATTATCTTATTTGAATTAGCTTATAAACTAAGATACAGTTACATAGAACAAAACTTCCTTTAATTAAAAACCTTTCCTTCAGGCCAAATATAAGCAGGACAGAGAAGAGAGGAAAAACCAGCTCACCCCTGCACACAAATACATGTTTGACATCCTGGCTGACAGGTTGTCTTTGACACCAGCAGAAGTGGAGGATTTCATTTTAGATTCTTCTTCGGTAAGTTCATCCTCAGTGTAACTTCAAACTTTACTTAAGGATAAAAACGGGGAGTAATGCTATGTGAAGCAGAAATATCTAACCAACAGAAATAAGAAGTCAGATGATCCACACAGGGTTGTTTTTTATTTACAATTTGTCAATGTTGTGGCTTTGTCTTGATTTTTGTTTACCGTTTTGTAAAAGTTTAATTCTGAGGTTATGCATTGTTTTTGTGTATTATTATGATTGTTGAAAAAATGTAAATGTATTCGTTCCTTTTTCAAGCTGCTCGCTTTTGATGATTTCTTCGCTGTTGAAGGCAGTAAAACCATTTCATTTGTGTATCAGGAGTCCGAAGTTCCCGGAATAGGTATGCATACATTTTTAAAGACGTTGCTTTGTTTGTTTTATATTTCACCTGGAAGCTGTTATACTGGCATTACACACTAATTTTGTTTTTAGAAAAATATGACAGCTTTATTTTTTCTAAAACTGAAATACAAATTTATGATATTTGCATAATGCATAATGTTTTAAAAAAGTCTCCAATAAAATATTGCACATTTAATCATGACAGACAGTGTAAAATGATCGGGTTTTATCTCACACGAAACCATTTGGATTTGATTCCAGAATGTGGGCGTGTATATCCTGGTCCAAGCAAAGGGGCAAAAGTCATGAGGCTTTTTTTAGCCAATTTAGCAGAGACATGCCTCACAGGGATTTGCTGCTCCTTCAGACGGACCAGAGTGGACATTCCTGTGAACCCAGAAAACATCCACGAAGTAAGATGACAAAGTTGTTGTTCTTTTCAGTCATTTCAAAGTATTTAACATAGTATGATATAGTTATTCAGTCATATTATATTGCAACTCTTTCACTTAAAAGCTTTTATATATCTGAATGTAACCCTCTAATTCAAAAGCTTTGTTCTGCTTATTTTTTTAAATCATTGCTTTACAAAAGTAAAGGGTTAAAGCTTTACTCTTATGAAGTTCTTGCATTTCCTCTATTATATTTCCTTGCCAGTTGCCAGTTGTTTAACTTATGACGGCTGAAACTCTCACAGTTTAAATGTTTTTTCCTTTCAATGTCAATAAGTGAGCTGTTATCTTTTCTTTATGCCTTGTAGGAAATCCTTTTCTCAATGATTGACGCCAGGAATGGCCTCCTAAAAGGAATAAGGGATTCATACAATTTCCTGCTTCCAGCCCTTAATACAGGACAAAACTGGGGTGCGGTAGACAAGTCTAGACATGGAGAAAAACTTAAAAAGAACTTCCTCTATACCTTCAAACATTGTTTGAGTTCTTTAGATGGTAAGAAAGTTTCAAATATATTTTTTTGTTTCGTCGCCTTTTGGAAAGAATTGTTACTTTAAACTTTGAACATATCACTTGGACCATCTTGTGTTTACTTACAAATTACAAAAAAGTAAACATCTACTGTATAAATGATGGTTTCCAACTAGTTTGGATGATTTTTTAATTTGTCTTATTTATACCGCAGATATCCAGAGAAGCAATGAAAGCATCGTTCATCTCAAGACAGTCACAGATATCGACCTCTCTAAATTAGCCTGTCTGGATGATATCAAAGTTGCGGCTGCCAACTTTGACATGGTGCAACGGCTCGAAGAAATCCTGACACAATGGTGCAAACAAATTGAGCAGGTTTGTAGTTTTCAGAGTTATTCTTTATACAGATAACATAGCCGGCACAATCAAATGTTAAAATAAATCAATGTTGGCTGACAGTTTAAAAGATAATTGAATATTAATTGATATTTCAGGTTCTGATAGAGAGTGATCTGTTGAGGAAAGAGGATGATTCAGCTGGGCCACTGAGTGAGTTAGAACACTGGAAACGGATGTCGTTACGGTACAGCTCTATCATCAGCCACATCAAAAGCCCAGAGTGTAAGGCAGTGGTGATGGTGCTCCATCTCAGCCATTCCAAAATAATGAAGGTACTGACACTAGAATTAAATGTAAACAAAGCCAGACAAGTTTTTGCTTAGTATTAGTTTTAATATCTGGTTTGTTACAGCTTTATACAGTTGAAGTGAAATTTATAACAGTCAGTGACAAATAAATCGTGATAAATGCCTGACAATTACATTGTAGAAACAATTTCTTAGCCTGACCTGCATTTTTTAAAGTTCTTTGATGTGATTATACGGAAGTAAATGTTTGAATTATTAGTATTATTCTATCAATGAAAAGAATCTTAATGTTATTGGTGGTCCATTAAGAATGAAAAGTATCGCTTTTAAAAGAAAATCTTTAACCCACAAAGGTCTGGCGAGATCTGGATATGAGGATAACAAATCGAGTCAATGAGGCAAAAGACAACGTCAAATTTTTGTCAACTCTTGAAAAAGTTCTACATCCTCTGTACAACAGTGACCCGGTTTGTATATTTATGGGTTTGATTCTCATTGTTCACTCCCTTTATTACATTGTTCTGTACTGTCCAGGCAGCCATTATTTAAACAACTGATACATATTTTCTCATACTGCATGTATAAATGCACTAAATGTACTAAATGTGTTATTAACTCTTAAATATCATGAAATATGATTTCAGTTTACCATGACAAAAAATGTGCAGAATGTCATCAGTGCAATTCACATGATTCACCGCGTTTCACTATATTACAATACAAGTGAAAAGATCTCTGCACTGCTTGTCAAAGTAAGTGACGCGTTACATCTTTCAACTAATTCAATTCGTGTCTTTGTGAAATTAGCTACACCTCTGACCACTTTTCCAGGTCACAAATCAAATGGTCACAGCATGCAGATCCTACATTACTGAGAATGGCAGCTGTCTTATATGGAATCAAGATGCTGAAAAACTCATTGAAAAAATGCAGGTGACTGAAAGTGATATCATCTGTGTTATTATTACTAAGGCTTCAAGAGCACATATGTTTTACATCAACAGACAGTAAGAGTTGTTTTGTCCTTTACCTTTGGCAGGTCTGTACAAATTTATATCAGGAATATCAGGTCTGTTTCCATAAAACAAAGATACAAGCAATGAAAGAACCTGGGAAAAGATCCTTTGAGGTCTCAGAGATGCAGATTTTCTGCAAGTTTGAGGGCTTCTGCAAGCAACTTGAAAAGGTGTTTTTATTGTTTACTCTCCTAAATCTACACCCTAGTTTTGTCATGTGGTTATGCTAAATGGCAAGAGGCATTGTCTTTTGCAGATCAAGAAAATAATTACTGTGTTCAAAACATTTGAGCCTCTTGAGCAATCCAACATCGAAGGCATCGAGAATCTGGGCAGACTGTTCCGCACTGTAGCCATGAACTTGAAAAGAAAGCAGTATGACATGCTCGCCCCAAGAACTACTGAATTTGAAACTGATTTTGTCAAATTCATGGCTCAAATGAGCAACATTGAGGTAAGTGTCACCTACAGCTGCTTTTTTTTTTTTTAAACAAATTTTTTATTATTTTTTTCAGAAATAATACAATGTGGTACGAATGTACATGTGTATTTTTACATTTTCTTTAAATAAAAAAACAAAACACAAACACAGGGTGATTTCAAAAGTGTGAGAAAAAACAAAACAAAAAAAACCTTATTGCATAATTAGTGGAACGACAGGTCTCCAACGTTTATTGAATATGGGTATTTGTAGTCTCAGAGAATATGTTATATGTTCCATTTGGTATATATCCAAGACCTTCTGAATCCATATATTGTAGCAAGGAGGCTCAGGTTTGAGCCATCTGATTGTTATGCATTTTAGAGCCGCTGTTAATAATATATTCAAAATATATTTTCCATCTTGTGTAATGATAGTTTTAGGTGTTACTCCCAATAAGGCAATATCTATATTGGATGGGATTTCCTGTTTGAATATTACTTTTAGGGCATCAAAATTTTCTTTCCAAAACTGATTTAATTTGGGGCATTGCCAAAATATGTGTGTGTGATTGGCATTATCAGTTCCACATTTTCTCCAACATAATCCTGAGTATGTCTGTCCCATTTTAGCCGATATAGCTGGTGTTCTAAAGAATCTAGTCACAACTTTCCACCTGCTTTTGACAGCAACATAAACATCTGTATAGATTATTCTTGTTTGTAGATTAGGGTTAGTTCCTGAAAATGTATTCATGATTACTTTATTTAATCATAATCCTGTACCAGATAAAGATAATGGTTAGAAGTTAAACCCGAGAACATATTTGTGCATGCAAGATCACAACTCTCAATGATTTACTCCAAACAACCATGGTATTCACATATTACCACCACAGAAATAGTTATATCTCAGAGGAGATATAGAATCTCAGAGGAGAGTCTACTGCTTGCATTAACACAGCTTAATAAGATAATAGATATAATGGATAAATGTGGATCATGACAATGACCTCCTTTTCTTAAATTATCTCCACAATATTGCTGTTTTCTACAGAGCCAGCTACAGACGTTTATGAGTTCATGCTTCTCAAACATCATCTCATCCCAGCAATCTCTGTGCCTCCTGAAGCGGTTTGTATGATTCATTGAGTGTGCAAGCCTATTACATTTAAATGGTGGTGTTAAAAGCTATAATATTCATATTTATAGGTTTGAGAAGCTGAACCTTCCTTGTCTTAACACACACATATCCAACATCGTGGGTGTTATCCTTCAGCACTACACTTCAGAAGTGCTGTTTGTGAAAAAGGTAGCTTTGCTTGTGCTTTGTTCATAAAGTAGACCGTCACAATAACATGAAAAACATTATTGATTTTTCTAACTTAACTTGAATAGAAAAAACAGACATAATTTTTATTTATTTCAGTAAATTAGGTTTACGTCATTTGCAGGTCTTTGACAAACAGAAGAATGACACTCCCTTATCCAGAAATATGCCACCAGTGGCTGGCAGAATTGCTTGGGTCAGACACCTCTATAAAAAGATAGAAGACCCGATATCACACATAAAAGTAAGACACAATTTTCAAAACACTCAAAATAACATTAGAGTTGTATTTAGACATTTTAATATTCATCAAATATGCTTCCTGTTGCAGGAAAACTCAGACATCCTCTGTAGTCCTGAGGGACAAGATGTGGTCAAAATGTACAATCAAACCGCAGCTGTGCTGGTTGAGTTTGAGCTTCTGCAACATGAAAGCTGGATGGAGAAAGTTTCCAAACTAGACTATGGTCGGCTATCTTGTTTTGATGCAGTAATGTGATTACATTGGTGGCACAAAGATAGCTTTTGTTAAGATGACTGTTACACTGTTAAAATGAGCTTTCTCTGTTCCTTACAACAGTCTTGAACATCACGCTTCTGGTTCGACACCCAAGTACGGGAAAATTAGTGGTCAACTTTGATCCTAAAATAACAGAGAGCATTCGGGAGGCCAAGTGTTTGTTAAAAATGGGTTTAAAGATTCCAAAGCAGGCAATGCTACTAATCAAGATGGAAAGCAAATTAAATGCCAGTCATTTCAGACTAAAGGTAAAATGTCATTTCAATTTGTTTGATGATTGTTTAGTTTAAGATCTTTTGACACATATGCCTTTTTTTAGACCATTTTAGAAGAATTTGACTCCACTTGTCAAAGCATACCTGCAGACTTCAGTAACTTGATGGCTTCAAAAATAAAACACGTAAGCATTTGAAAATGTTCAAGCACATCTGCCCTTCACGTCTTTTAGACTTCGCACAGCAGCATGTCTTTATACTACTAGGTGGAGTCTGCACTTCGACACGGTTCAGTGCTGCTAACCTGGTCGTCCTTCCTCCTGGACAAGTTCTTTCAAAATGTTGAAGCTGCTCTGTCTGAGCTCAAAGTTCTTGTCAACAAGGTTTGTTTCTGAACACAAAGGCTGACTGGTAGTTCTTTTGACAGACCTATTCCAAATGATTACAAACTAATTACAAATGTCATTTACCCCTGCACTTAAAGGTACCATTAGAAATACTTTTTTTTTTCAGGTGCTCGATATTTGTAAGATTCAAATTTATGATGTCCTTGAAGACATCTCTGAAACTCTGCTGATCGAGCTCCCAGAAGATCACGCATCTCCACTGTGGCAGCTGGTTGACCAAAATAAGGCAGGAGAATCTCATGTTTGATATCCAAATGGAAAAAAAAAAATCACTCAGCCAGTTCATAACGATTACTACTTTGTTGAAAGACATGTCTAAATGTCCTTTTTTACCTCAACCTTTCACGTTTCAAATTAACTTAATCATTGTAGATTAAAACATATCTTTTTTGTTTCTTTAGAATCGTTGTAAAGAGTTGGCAAAAACACTGGATTACAAATGTAGTCGTGTAAAAGGAGCCATTATGGAATTAGGTAATGTGTTAAGTGCTGTATATGAACCAAAAGGGACCAAGACTGTAGATGAACCTCAAGGTGCGTGGCACAAATGCTAAAGTTATTATGTTTAACGTAAATTGCATCTCAGCTATATTCTATATATTTTAGGGAGGAGTGTGACATTCTCAAGGGAAAGCAAGAGGAGGGGTGCTAAAGCTGATGCAGTGTCCTTAGAAGGACCATTGAAAGATAAGCAGATTAAGTTTGAAAAGGTGTGTCATCAGCTAAAAAACAGTTCAATTACATAAACTTTGTCTTTACCAAGAAATGTGACAGTGGGTCATAAAAATTTTCCTTTCAGGAGTTTAAGAAGCTTTATGAACTCTTCAGCACAGAAGTATTCGAAGCACTTGTCAAAACCACCAAGTTATCCCTGGTGACATTAAAAAGGAGAATTTGTGGCAGGAAGTAAGTATTTCTTGGCTTAGATCAAAATATCACTCAGAAAAAAGTTAACTGATCTTTGAAGGGGTTATGGTAATAATTGTGTATTTTAGCACTTACAAGAAGTCAGAGATTAAACCCAAGGTGGTCCCACTAATTAAATCAGAAGCCCAACTGGACAAGCCCAATGTGGTAAGCTTATTTTTCTCCTCTTTGAAAGAATTTTATGTGCTTATATAAAGCAGCAAAATGTTACTTTGTCCTCAGGTCATGGTCCCCAACGTAGATGAGGTCCAGCAGGCCATCAATCAGCTTATTGACTGTGTGCTGGAAGTTAGCAAAGGTGTTGTTTGGGAACAGGAGTTCAGCCAGGACGACACACAGAGCAAAGGTTACTAGTTGTCAGCAGGAACACATGTTATTTGAGCAATTATTATGTTTATTATTAGTCATATTATATATAAGCAGTAAAATGCTTTTGGGGAAAGTAAAGAATTTTACTTAAATAGTGAGCTATGAAACGGTTTCAGTCCGTATATATATGTGATGTGTTTTCTAAGTAGGGAAGCTTCAGTTATGTATTTTGAGACAGCTCTATTTTCTCATGTAAATGAAACTGGTGTCTTGTAATTTGTGATTGTTAGTTCAGGAATGTTTGGTTAATACTGTTTGAATGCACTTATTGCCTTTTTGTTCCATTTTTACCTCATGTCTTGTCTGAAAAAGACAACTTCTCCCAGAACGTTTTTGAAGACAAGGACATTAAAAAACTTGTGGTCGTTCTAAAGACTGCAGTCACCTCACAGAGGCAAGAAGCAAGTGACGTTCTGAAGTATTTCCATCCTTTCAGGGTGATTTGGGAAGATGACAGGAACATCAAAGTCAAGGTTTTTTTCTAGAAAAAATTTACATTAGCTTCCTGCAAATCTGTTTTTATTTATCATGCTGTCTAATTATCACATTTTTTTCAAAGGAATTCATGAGCAGCAGTCCATCCTTGATTCAGATTAAATCTGAAATCCAGCACTACGACTCGGTTGAGCAACAAATTGAGGCCATCAAGCCTGAGATAATTTTTGGCTCTACTGAACTTTCAACAGGTAAAACTGACATGACGTTAGACCGGAAACTAATTCTGAGTTACAGAGTTTTAACGTTACACTGATTTCTTTCTGATCTCCACTCTACTTAAAATACTAAACGTGGCTGAGATCACTTTATCGTTCTGTTATGATCTGATATTTTCGAGCTTCAATCTTTTTCAGGGCAAATACAAAAAAAATGTAGAAAATGATGGTAGTTCCATCACATATTAACTTTTTTCTCATTTGAACATGTTTTGTAAAAGAGTGATGAAGTTTTCACTAAAGAACTTCTTTGTCTTTAAGGTGTATTAAAGAAGGCTTTGACAGATGAGACCAAAGCTTGGAAAAAGCTTATCTGCAAATACCTGAAAGAAGATTGCAAGAAGAAAATGATTGATATCAGCATACATATCAACAAATATCTGGTACAACTAGAACATCCTGTTTGTAATTTGGAAGATGTGCGCCATGCCATGGGGGCCCTATCAAAGCTTCGAGATGCTGAAATTCAGACTGATATGACGTTAATTTCCATTGAGGTACAACTAAGATTGTTGTCTGTTTTTAGGCATGTTCAGCAGCTTAAACAGAGCTCCAACTTTGGCTCGTTTAACCAGCTGTGAACTTTGCAATAGTTACAACTATGTGAAAACAACATTAAATAAAGTAGCAAAATTATAATAAACATGGAATTTTGAACTTTACAGGAAACCTTCGAAATACTGACCAAAAATAAAGCAGAGGTCACCAAAAGAGAGGCCGATGGAATGTACAACCTGCGGAATCTCTTCTCAAAGCTTCAGTCCAAAGCTGTTAGTATTATCAGGACAGTTATGCTCTTTTGTTTTATTGTACAAGTTTTTCTTTGCAACTAAACTTTGATAATGGATTCTAAATTAAAATTTCACAGGTATCTTTGCAAGACGAGCTTGTTCGGATGCAGCCCAAGTTCAAGCAAAACCTTCTCGAATGTGTTACTGTCTTTGAAAAAGACGTTGACAGCTTTCAGGAAGAATACAATACTGTAAGTAACCAGTGACTTACCTTTACACTATAGGTGTTTTGTGGCTCTGCCAATTCAGGTGTCCTTATCACTTTCAATGACCCTGCTTTTCAGGAAGGCCCCATGGTTGAAGGAATTCCTCCACAAATAGCCAGCAAGCAGCTCCAAGTCTTTCAGGTTCTATTGCTTTTTAATACTATTATCTGTTGCAGTTGTGTATTATGTTGTCAACTAATGAGTAGAAGAAAAACCTCATGCAGTTGTTTTATCTTGAATACAAGATCATCCAACTTCTTCGAGATTTACTCAGACCAAATGAAAACATTTAACATTCTCATAAAATGATATTTAATTGAATTGATATTTTTGTTTTTACAAATATATGGAAATGTTTACTCATTTAATTTTAAACTGTCTGCATTTTTCCCCTCAGGATAGATTTGATGAACTTTGGAGAAATTTTACCACATACACTTCTGGGGAGCAACTTCTTGGCTTGCCAGTTACAGAGAATAACTTTCTACATCAAAAAAAGTTTGTTGCTGCTCTGTCGAAACCTTACTTTGGAGTACAGATTTGACCATGTATTTAATCTAATATTGACATTATTTATGTGAATTATTTATTTTATTTTATTTTTCAGAAAGGAGTTGGAGCTACTTCGAAAACTCTATGGCCTGTATGATGCTGTCATGAGTAAGATCAGTGGATATTACAATATCCTGTGGACAGACGTCGACATTGAAAAGATCAACTCAGAACTTTTGGAGTTTCAGAATAGGTCGAGTATTTCTGAGCTGTTAAAGTTTGGTGTGTAATGATATAGTCTTATCTGTTTTTTGCCTTTATATGATAGATATATTGTTCAATATCTCTTTTTGTAGGTGTCGAAAGCTGCCAAAAGCACTGAAGGACTGGCAAGCCTTCCAAGACCTAAAGAAAACCATTGATGACTTCAATGAGTCCTGCCCACTGCTGGAAATGATGGCAAACAAGTCCATGATGTTGAGACACTGGGACCGGATTGGAAGCCTGACTGGACATCACTTTGAGGTGGAGTCTAAAACGTTTATGCTGCAGAACATCATGGAAGCACCTCTGCTGAAGTACAAGGATGATATTGAGGTTTGTTGGAAGTTTGAATACTTTTTGTTCTGGTGGTCTCACCACATTGTTTTTCTTTCTTCTGTTTTTAAGTATTCAGCCCTCTAAGCCTGGCTTTTAATATTTACAGGACATCTGCATATCAGCTGTAAAGGAGAAAGATATTGAGGCCAAACTGACACAAGTAAAAGACTTGTGGTCTGGCCAGACCCTCAGCCTGATGACATTTAAGGATAGAGGAGAACTAATGCTGAAGGGGGCAGAGACAGCAGAGATTTTTACAATCCTGGAGGACAGTCTGATGGTGCTGGGCTCACTGCTAAGCAACAGGTAATTAAGAAGTTAGCAAAGGTCTGTGAATTTGTGGATTAAGTAGTTATAAATTTGACTTTGAATCATTTGACTTTTCATCCACCATAAGTATGTATTGATTTAATGTTTGTCCTTGTCTGCTTTGTACAGGTACAGTGCATACTACAAAGCAGAGATTCAGGATTGGGTCTCCAAGCTCTCCACATCATCTGAAGTCATTGAGCAGTGGATTATTGTGCAGAACCTGTGGGTTTACCTGGAAGCTGTGTTTGTTGGGGGGGACATCGCCAAAGACCTCCCACAGGTGCAGTGTTTGCAATCTTTCCTCATTTACTGAAATACAAGGCTTTTGAATCTTTCAAAATATCTATTTTTCAAATAACAGGAGGCAAAACGTTTTCAAGATATTGACAAAGCCTGGATAAAGGTCATGCAGCGCGCCCAGAAGTTCCCAAATGTGGTGGAGTGCTGTGTGGGCGATCCAATGTTAGGGACTCAGCTACCCGAGCTTCAGAAACAGTTAGAGTTCTGTCAGAAGTCTCTTGCAGGGTAAAGCTAAAAGCTTCAAAAGACAAGTGGTTGTTATACCACTCATATGGCTGTGAATAATAATTATTTCTAATTAATAGTTACCTTGAGAAGAAGAGGCTTCTGTTTCCACGATTCTTCTTTGTATCCGATCCGTCTCTTCTGGAAATCCTTGGACAAGCCAGTGATTCTCATACAATTCAGGTTAGAATATGTTTGAATATTGTCACAAGGAAATAAATGTTAATATTTAGAGATTGGTTTCTTAATTTTTTATGAAAAAAATTAGTCATACCTGTGGATTTTTTAATGATACCTTAAATTTCGAAATTCATTTTGAAAAACTATAAAATGATGGATCATCTTTTTTGCATTATTTTCTAATGAAGACTGTTTTTGGATTAACTGTGACATTATCTTTTTATTGCTTGTATTTATTTGGGCAAAAGAATTGAGCAAAAGTAATCATATTTTTCAGTCTCATCTCCTTGGAGTGTTCGACAATGTCAATGAGGCAGAGTTTCATCCAACAGAATATAACAAGATTTTGGCTGTTCTCTCACAGGAAGGGGAGCGATTACCTGTACGTCACGTTCTTTGCTTTTACCGAGTTTAATGACTTGTTTTTTATTCAGTTTTCCTTACAGACTTCCAATTCCGTGAAAAGTTTGATACAAACATAAAAAATGTGTACAATAATTTACAAACCTAATAGACCACTTTTTTCATTCACAGTGGCACATAAAACCATCAAATTTGTTACAAATGTTGCAACACATATCAAAAATCAAGCTCAAATTTTATTGCAGCAACACTTCTTAAAAAAATAATTTGTTTTGGAACTGGAGCCATAAACCATTTATATGCATAGTGTAGATATGGAATACAATTTGTATCTGTTTCTCTGTTTTTTAAGTCTCTGTTACTACACTTTTATAAATACGCATATCTGCTCTCAGCTGGACAAACCCGTCATGGCGCAGGGCGCTGTGGAGCTCTGGCTTGGGGAGCTGTTGTTGCAACAGCAAGCCTCATTGCACTCCATCATAAGAGCTTCCGATCTGGAGATAAATGATGAAGATTTTGATCTTCTTTCTTTCCTTGACAAGTATCAAGCACAGGTGAGCAGACAAGGATGTGGTTTTCAATATGATTAAAAAGTCTATTTTTAAGCCAGGATTTATCAGACAGGTGTTGTTAAATAACCAAAGAGAATATCTTTGTAGTGTTGAGGGATAAGATTGTATAATATATTTATGGATTTTATTTATATAGTCCCCAAGATCTTTATTATCTTTTTATATACTGCATTGTGTCTTTTTCAGGTGGGCTTGTTAGGAATACAGATGCTTTGGACAAGAGATTCTGAAGAGGCCCTAAAAATGGCGGCCTATGATAAGGATGTCATGCCTGCTACGAAAAAGAAATTTCTAAATCTGCTCAGTGTGCTTATTAAACAAACCACCCATGACCTGAGCAAGTTTGACAGAGTCAAATATGAAACTCTTGTCACAATTCACGTGCACCAGAGTGATATTTTTAATGACCTGGTAAGTTGATGGCAATCAAGGCATCAATCAATACTACTGTTACGTCTTTTTAGTCAATACCTAATAATGTTTTTTTTTTGTAATAATAATGTGTTTTTGTCATGATGCTTTGTTTTTAGGTAAAGAAACGTATAAAATGCATCAGCGACTTTGAATGGCTGAAGCAGAGCAGATTTTATTACAAAGACGACCTGGACAAAGTCATTGTATCAATTACTAATGTAGACTTCATTTATCAGAATGAGTTCTTAGGCTGTACTGATCGTCTGGTCATCACCCCTCTGACTGACAGGCAAGAAAAGAGAAAATTCATTTTCATTAGTAACATATTGTAGTAGCTCAACTTAGCTTGTTTTTTTCTTTTTTTTCTTTCTTTATAGATGTTATATCACACTAGCCCAGGCTCTGGGCATGAGTATGGGAGGAGCTCCTGCTGGGCCAGCAGGCACTGGTAAGACTGAAACCACCAAAGACATGGGTCGATGTCTTGGCAAGTATGTTGTGGTCTTCAACTGCTCAGATCAGATGGATTTCAGAGGACTTGGCAGGATATATAAAGGTATATTTTTTTTAAATTTATTTATTTAATCAGGACAGTGCACATTAATGAACAATCTCATACAGATTGTAAATGAGCAAGATTATAACATAGTTGCTAGTTTACATCTGTCGTCCTGAGGCAGGAAGACCAAACAACACAAAATCACAAAATACAGCATCGTTATATGAAAAAGCATTTAATGTATATGCTGTTTTCCTGTGCTTTCACATTGCAGGCCTTGCACAGTCAGGTTCCTGGGGTTGCTTTGATGAGTTCAACAGAATCGACCTGCCCGTGCTTTCTGTTGCAGCTCAACAGATTTCAATTGTCCTGACAGCACGGAAGAAACACAAGATTACTTTCATTTTTTCAGACGGAGACTGTGTGGACTTGAATCCAGAGTTTGGCCTGTTTATCACTATGGTAAGATTTAGAAACACAGTACACTTTAAAAACGAACAAATTGGAACAAGATGAAAAACTGTGACAAAAATTATGTCACCCTGTTTTAGAATCCAGGATATGCAGGTCGTCAGGAACTTCCTGAAAATTTAAAAGTTCAGTTCAGGACAGTGTCCATGATGGTTCCGGACAGGCAGGTTGGTCAAGGCTTCTTTTTATAGCGAGAATGTCATTTTATTTCATGGAGTCTCAACAGTTTCTTCTTCGCTTTTGCCTTTGACAGATTATAATGAGGGTCAAACTTGCCAGTTGTGGATTCAATGACAATGTCATCTTAGCACAAAAATTCTTTGTTCTTTACAAACTTTGTGAAGAACAACTAACAAAACAGGTGAGAATCTTGTTACCAGCTAATGATTCCTGGTTTTTGTGGTTCCTGACTCTGACATACAACTTTTGCTTTTTGGACAGGTTCATTATGACTTTGGACTGAGGAACATCCTATCTGTGTTGAGAACACTTGGAGCTTGTAAAAGAGCTCGACCCGATGACACAGAATCCAGCACGGTCATGAGAGTGCTCCGTGACATGAATCTGTCCAAACTGGTATGACACAAAATAAGTTCTTACCAACAGCTGTTGTATGCTATTTTGCATTGGGAGTGCTAAGTGCGCACTGCATACACAATGCTGAGTACATAAATCTGTGTGTGCTTCAGGTGGATGAAGATGAGCCCCTCTTCCTTAGTCTTATCAATGACCTGTTCCCTGGCATCCAGCTGGATAACAGCACATATACTGAGCTTCAAGCCGCTGTTTCCAATCAAGTTGAGCTTGCTGGTCTTGTTAATCACCCACCGTGGAATCTCAAGCTTGTTCAAGTACGGTACCTTTAAATTGTGTCAATTGGTTGTTATTATAAAACTCCCATTTGGAAAGACGTTTACTGAATTGCATTTCCCTTTTGCTGTCAATATCAGCTTTACGAGTCATCTCGGGTTCGTCACGGGCTGATGACCTTAGGCCCAAGTGGGGCTGGGAAGACCATGGTTATCAACATTCTCATGAGATCGCTAGCTGAATGTGGAACCCCACACAGAGAAATGCGCATGAACCCAAAAGCAATCACTGCTCCACAGATGTTTGGTCGTCTGGATGCAGCCACCAACGATTGGACCGATGGAATCTTTTCCACTCTGTGGCGGAGGTCACTCAAAGCTAAGAAAGGTTTGTAGTTCAACCATTTGTGAACATTTAAGCTAGGACAATGTTTTTTACTACTAAGGATAAGTCTCCAAGAGAAATCCCACACTGTATAAGTGAAAACACTGTATTTGTCAGTTAAATAAACAATTAAATGCAGGGCCGAGTAACTGACACGTCAGAATCCAGAACTTGGAACAACCAAAGACAAAGCTATGCAGTTAACACAGAAACATCTGTTAATGATATCAGTTTTCTAACATTCTTAACTGTTCTTTACTTGTTCATCTTTTAAATCAACCCCCCCCCATGCAGTTCTGCACTTAAGCCTTTCTGGTCCAATACAATATAGTCACAAGCCTTGGTGTGTAGATTAATGGGATCTGGCTCACCCTATGACTAATGAGTAATTGACAAAGAGGCTATTGAAGAACTCAAATATTTATCTGCCTCCAAATGTCTGTTCATCAGGGGAAGTCATTTGGATTGTGCTGGATGGTCCTGTTGATGCCATATGGATCGAGAACCTGAACTCAGTCCTTGATGATAATAAAACATTGACCTTAGCAAATGGTGACCGCATCACCATGTCACCATCCTGTAAGTTGGTGTTTGAGGTGCACAACATGGACAATGCCTCCCCCGCTACTGTGTCTCGAGTGGGCATGGTTTTTATGAGCTCCTCAGCTCTCAGCTGGATGCCCATCCTCCAGGTTCATTTTAAATTGTTGATGATTTTGATGTTTTATGTGTTCCTGAAAATAAACAATGCTTTTAAAACAGTCATTAAACTGAACTAACTAATTGGACTTACCCGAACCCTTTGATATTGAAGGGATGGGCCAACAAACGCAATGCAAGAGAGGCAGAGAGCATCATCAGCTTATATGAAAAGACGTTTGAGGATGTTTACATGCATATGAAACAAAGCCTTAAACCCAAAATGGAACTTTTGGAGTGTAACTACATAATGCAGGTATGCATTTTTTCAAAAAGAAAGGTTGAAAATAAAACTTGTGCTTTAAACTCTATTTTTGTTCCACCTTTAGTCTGTCAATCTGCTGGAGGGCCTCCTCCCGACCAAGGAGACAGAGGGCTTTGCTGGTAGCAAACACCTGGAGCGCCTCTATGTCTTTTGCATTATGTGGAGCCTTGGAGCCCTTTTAGAATTAGAGGACAGAGACCAACTGGAAGTCTTCATGAGGGAGCATGACAGCAAGATTGATCTGCCCACAACTAAGCCAGGAGAGACTATATTTGAGTACATGGTCGACACAAATGGTACAGTTCTTTAAAATGTAAAATAACACCAATTTAATGTCTTCTCACATGATTTTAAATAAGCAAACTTTTGAAGAAAGCAGTATGATGGCCTGGTTGTTAGCATTTTGCAGCTAAATGGCTTTCCTTGCATTGCTTGTGTGTTCACCCCGTGAGCATTAATTATCACATTATCACGGTGAGTGAGTGTGATTGACTTGAGACTGAATCTTATGTGAGCTTATAAAACCAAGCTATTGAAGAATATAGACAGTTCTGTTGAACGTCTAATAAAGGCAGAAGTGGTGCACCACAGCAGAGACACAAAATAACCTAGAAATTACACTTTTGTTTTAGGTGAATGGTGCCACTGGAACAATCTTGTGGAAGAGTATGTCTATCCAACTGACCATGTGCCGCATTACACCTCCATTCTTGTGCCAAATGTGGATAACACAAGGACTTCATTCTTGCTGGAGACCATTGCCAAACAACACAAGGTGACAGTGTTGTTTATAAAATATTTAGATAACATGATGTTTAGAAATGTGTTATTTTTTCTGGCTAAAAGGTATATTTGTAGCTAAAAATATTTTTACAAAAATAGGCCGTACTTCTCATTGGTGAACAAGGGACGGCTAAGACAGTGATGATCAAAGGCTATGCCAAGAACTACGATCCAGAGACAGATCTGTGTAAGGCACTGAACTTCTCCTCTGCCACTGAGCCCATGATGTATCAGGTAAAACTTATTTATACTTATTTATGCTTTTTATACTTTAATTCTTGCAGTCCTGCTTTGATTGCCGTTTACTGAATATTTCCTCTCATGCAGCGTTCGGTAGAAAGTTACATTGAGAAAAGGATTGGCAGCACCTATGGACCCCCGGGAGGACGCAGGATGACTATCTTCATTGATGACATAAATATGCCCATTGTTAATGAATGGGGAGATCAGGTTTGTGACATTATTTAGCATTTAAAATACCCTCGATCTTCAAAGTTTAATGTGTGGAGCCTCTTTTTATTTAATTGCCCAACCAGATCACAAACGAGATAGTGCGGCAGATGATGGAAATGAGCGGCATGTACAATCTGGATAAACCAGGGGATTTCACCATTATTGAAGATGTGCAGATTATGGCTGCCATGATTCACCCTGGTGGTGGGAGAAACGACATCCCACAAAGACTGAAGAGACAGTTTACAGTCTTCAACTGCACACTGCCATCTAACACTTCCATTGATAAGATCTTTGGTAGCTTTTTTTCTAAAAGGATAAAAAATCTTCCAGCATGCAGTCCTGTAGGCTTCATTATACAGTTAAATACTTCTTCATGGTTTTTTTTTTTTTCAGGTGTAATCGTTTCTGGATATTTTCATGAATGCAGAAAATTCCAACCAGAAATATCAGCAATGGTTAAGTGTCTTGTGTCAGGTGGGAGGATTTTATGGCAGTGGACAAAGGTACTTACATAGAATATGATCGCAGATTGTCACAATCAATGTTTGGGATACAATATAAAACCTTTTTTATTGTGTTGCATTGAAGGTCAAAATGCTTCCCACACCATCAAAGTTCCACTACATCTTCAATTTGAGAGATTTGTCCAGGATCTGGCAAGGAATGTTGAATATAAAAGCAGAGGAGTGTAATGACATACCAACCCTGTTGGCTCTTTTTAAATGTGAATGTACAAGGGTCATCGCAGATAGGTCTGTAAGAAGTTCCTTACAGAAAATCCCTTTTAAAGTAAAAAAAGTTTGAAAAATGAACTGCTACCATAAGACATTTTCTGTTGTAGGTTTATTTGCTCAGAGGACCGAGAGTGGTTTGAAAAAGCTGTTACTCGGGTGACCAAAGAGCACATCGACCCAAACCTCGTCGCAGAGCTTCACTCTGAGCCATATTTTGTGGACTTCCTCCGAGACGCCCCTGAGCCAACTGGAGAGGAGGAGGAGGATGCCTGTTTTGATGCACCTAAGATCTATGAACTGGTACTTAAATGGCTTTTTTGTTCGTATTTTCATTATAGTAAATTTATCCAGGAAAGTGTTACTATAATCTGACAATATGATTGATTTTCCCAGGTGCCAGATTTTCAGTTCTTATCAGATAAACTCATGATGTATCAGGCTCAGCACAATGAGGTTGTAAGGGGCTCCAGCCTTGATCTGGTTTTCTTCAAAGATGCAATGACTCATCTTGTCAAGGTAACACTTGAAGGCAGTCAAGATTTAATTTAGAGTGCCGGTAGATTTAATGTAACTTAACATCTGCTCGTCATTAGATCTCACGAATCATTCGCACAGACAGTGGAAATGCCTTGCTTGTGGGTGTGGGAGGATCGGGAAAACAGAGTCTGACACGCCTGGCCTCATACATAGCTGGATACAGAATCTTCCAGATTACATTAACAAGGTGAGAACAGGAAAAGTCTACCTGCTGTCAGTCTTAGTAAATAAACTTAAAACAGTGTAACTATCTTCACCATGCCTAAACTTTTATAGTCTTCACTTTCTAAAACTGAGGACTATAAAAAGTCCTGGAAACTGTTTCAGGAACTTAAATTGCACTCAGACCAACTTCTTTGTTTATGAAGGTTACCAGAGTCTGCTAAACACCATTAATCTTCAGTATAATTTTCATTGTGTGTATTCACACCAAAGATAGAATCCCTGAAGTGACATAAACTCTAAAGCTGTCTCAGTCAGTCCAAGGTTTCACCGTTGGCCATTTCTCTGTGTTAGACTTACTTTCTACAAGCTGAGAAATTGTTATGTATATAGGTCATATTTTAGGGATGGTTTACTTGTTTCTTTTTATTTCTATTTGGTGAGGGGGGTTCCAGTGGTGTGCTCATACCTTCAACCAGTCACTGTTGCTATTTCTTTGAATAATGTGTTTTTTCTTTCCCACCTTTGAGAACATACAACATGGGTAATTTCATGGATGACCTGAAGCTGTTGTATAACACAGCGGGGGCTGAGGGCAAAGGCATCACCTTCATCTTTACAGACAATGAAATCAAGGATGAGGCTTTCCTGGAGTACCTCAACAATGTTCTTTCTTCTGGAGAGGTAAGATCTCACAGCGGTAAAAAGATGTGTTTCTGAAATTCTGGATTTTCACACTGATTAGGTTATTAAGAACTGGCATCTTCAGTCTCATTGAAACAGACTGGAACTGATCCTCAAATCACTGAAATAAGGATGTCAGAAAGTAAAGTATCATAGGAATGCTTTTTGTCTTGATGGTGTTGGATTCACTGTGAATTAACTGTGTTCAGGTCTCCAATCTTTTTGCTAAAGATGAGATGCAAGAGATCGCAGGGAACCTCATACCAATTATGAAAAAGGAGTTTCCTCGCATTCCACCAACTTTTGACAACCTTTACGACTACTTTATATCACGGTCGAGAAAGAATCTACATGTTGTTCTTTGCTTCTCTCCCGTAGGTTGAAACTTTTTAAAGTTTTTTTTATTGCCAAAAACAGCTCCTTAAGCATCATGTTTACATTCTTTTTCCTCAACAGTATATATATATATTCACACCCTGCTTCATCTGGATTTAGTAATTTTTTTACGTTTTTTCCTACTCTTATGTATAGGTGGGGCAGAAGTTTCGCTCCAGGTGTATGAAGTTTCCCGGCTTGATTTCTGGCTGCACGATGGACTGGTTCACCCCCTGGCCCACTGAGGCTCTGGTTGCTGTATCCACTTATTTCTTATCAAAGTTTGAAATGGTTTGTCCTGCAGATGTGAAGACCTCAGTGATGGCTACTATGGGGACATATCATGACAAAGTATCTGAGACATGTGAAAGCTACTTTGAAAGGTATCACATCATTTCAAAATAATAATTATTTTTTGTTCAGAAATTTACAGTTTGAATTGCAGCCTTAAAGTTTTATGATAACCATCTCTCAGGTTTCGAAGAAGAGCTCATGTCACCCCAAAATCCTACCTGTCTTTTATAAATGGTTACAAAACATTATATGCTGAAAAGCACAACTACATCAACACTCTGGCAGAGCGCATGAATGTTGGTAAGTTAAACCGACAGCAAGGCAGTTTTGCTTTCATAAAGCTCTTCTAAAGTTTCAGGTAAAGATTATAGACAATATTGCTTTTCTCAGGGTTGGACAAATTGATGGAGGCCAGTAAGTCTGTTGCTCAACTATCGAAGGATCTTGAAGTAAAGGAAAAGGAGCTCGCTATAGCATCTGCAAAAGCAGACGAAGTAAGTCATACACTCCTGTGGCCTTCAGAAAATACATGTAGGAAGATTTATGAGCAACTTGTCTGCAGTTCGTACTTACACACTAAGAAAGCCATAAACTTAAGAATAAAGTTCTGCTCACATCGGTGGTGGGGTTAATAGAATACATTTAAGCAATGATTCATCATGGAAATTAACTTGTGCTTTAGACAAATGAGTATTAGCAATTTTGTAACCTGTTAAGCCAGTTGAAAAGTGTATGTGATACATTGTTTGATGGAATTTGTTTTTGCATTCACTAAGGTGCTGGCAGAAGTGACAGTCAGTGCTAAAGCAGCCACAATTGTAAAGAATGAGGTCCAAGTGGTGAAAGACAGAGCCCAGAAAATTGTGGATGGAATTGGGAAAGAGAAAGCTATAGCTGAGGAGAAGCTGGAAGCGGCCAGGCCAGCTTTGGAAGAGGCGACAAATGCACTGAATGTGAGATATCTCTGGTGCACTCTTATTTACACTTTTAATTCTATAGTATGTTACAATGTATACTTCAAAACTCTACAGACCATTAAACCAGCTGACATTGCCACTGTGAGAAAACTGGCCAAGCCTCCCCACCTTATCATGAGGATCATGGACAGCTGTCTGCTCTTATTTAACAAAAGGTTGGACTCAGTTACAAGTGATCCTGAGCGAAACTGTCTGAAACCATCATGGGGAGAAGCACTCAAGGTAACAAATTTAATTTGATTTATCTTTCAGTAGTTGCTCATTAAACATATTTTAAAGCACTGACTACCAAACAGACTTCTGCCACAGGCACAATATAGTTTCTGATTTTCATATTTTGATTATGAAAAAATTAAGAAAACTAATTAGAAGTTGGATTTCCAAGACATGACTTGAAATATTTAAACTTATACAGCAGTGTCATCAATTTTCCTTTTGAAACTATAAAACTGCTTGCTAGACTTTGCTGTTATGAAAAAAGAGAAACAGCAAGAGCAAGAGTTTACGGCACAGCAAATGCAGTAGAAGTTATTAGAGATAATATGGAGGCTCTGAGAGTTGTGAAAAAGAATTCCCTCACATACCCAAGCTGCCCTCTCTGTGACATGGGTTCAGGCTGGTCAAACCTAAAAAAAAGTGCCAGTGTCTCTCCCCCCAAAAAAAGTTGCATATGTCTTCTCACTCACTGACATTTTCTTATTTTGTCCATCCTCAGCTCATGAGTGCTTCTGGTTTCATGACAGCACTCCAGCAGTTCCCAAAGGACAGCATCAATGCGGAAACTGTGGAGCTGCTCAGGCCTTACTTTGACATGGAGGATTACACAATGGAAAATGCCAAGAAAGTGTGCGGTAATGTAGCCGGTCTGCTTGCATGGACTCGTGCTATGGCCTCATTCTTTTCCATCAACAAAGAAGTGCTGCCACTCAAGGTAATGTTACTGTTTAGATTTGTCATGGGTGGCTTTTCCACTCCAATAAGGCCATTTAAAACGAATCTAAAATATCCTTTAGCTTAAAGTCATCGTATGCTGCAATATTAACAAAAAGGGCCTTCGTTGTTTGTCTCCAGGCTAACCTTGCCGTCCAGGAAAGCCGTTTGAAAGTCGCTAATAATGAGCTGAGCAAGGCTGAGGCTCAGCTGGCTGAAAAGCAAGCAGAGTTTGACAAAGTCAAGGCCAAATGTGACGCTGCAATGAAAGAGAAACAGGTGTGATTCACTTCTCTGAAAAATGTCGGCACTTGGCACAGCTTAGTGTAGAAGTGGTGGATGTGACGCATTTCTTGTCCCTCAGGAATTGGTTGATGATGCAGAAATGTGCAGGAATAAAATGCAGGCTGCATCTGCTCTCATTGACGGACTCAGTGGAGAGAAAGTTCGCTGGATAGAGCAACGCAAAGAATTCAAATCACAAATAAACAGGCAGGTTACAAAAAAAATGCTATGTATTAATAGGATATTATTTTCCAAGAGGAAGGATAAATCTTACAAGAGGTTAATTGAAAATGATTGAGGATCAGTTTTTCAAGGGCAGATTTGAAAGGTTTTGATAGCCGTTAATTAAAGAGCCCAGCTGCCTCTGCTCCTCTTTTCAGACTTGTTGGCGACGTCCTCCAGCTCACGGGCTTCTTGTCGTACTGCGGTCCATTCAACCAGACTTTCCGGGATATGTTGTTGAAGGACATCTGGGAGGCAGAGCTCCGGCAAAACAAAATCCCTTTTACAGAAAATCTCAATATCATCTCTGCTTTGGTGGATCCTCCCACCGTAAGAACAAGACTGTTTCCTTTTTAACACTTTTTCTGTGTCATCTTGAGGATTTCTTTACAAACACTGACTGTTTTTATGTTCCAGATAAGTGAGTGGAACCTTCAGGGACTTCCTGGAGATGACTTGTCCGTTCAGAACGGCATCATCGTAACAAAAGCGTCAAGATATCCCCTCCTCATCGATCCACAGACTCAGGGAAAGGCGTGGATTAAGAAGAAGGAAGAGGCCAACTCACTTCAAGTAGCCAAACATTTTTCATTTGAACCAAAATGACTGGCTTTAAGTCAAACATGTTGTAGAAAGAAACTGTAATTTTGTGTTCAGGTCACATCCCTAAACCACAAGTTCTTTCGCACACATTTGGAGGATTGCATTTCCATGGGACAACCATTGCTGATTCAGGATATATCTGAGGAGCTTGACCCTGCCCTGGACAATGTGCTAGAGAAGAACTTTATTAAGTCTGGGACCAGTTTCAAGGTATCATAACCAATATAACAAAAAAAAAAAACCCATCTGTAAGATCTCTATACTCAAATGTTTTAAATTGCCATATTTTATAGGTCAAAGTAGGAGACAAAGAGATAAGTGTAATGGATGGATTCCAGCTCTATATAACTACCAAACTACCAAATCCAGCATACACCCCAGAAGTCAGCGCCAAAACATCCATTATTGATTTCACTGTGAACATGAAGGGGCTGGAGAACCAGCTGCTTGGTCGAGTCATCCTCAAAGAAAAATATGTCAGTGCTTTTAAAGATACCCTGCTGTTGAAACATTAACATCTAATTCTGATTAGTCTGCAAAAAATAATAAAATTGGTTTTGATTTCTTTACAGGAGCTAGAAGCAGAGAGACTGAAACTAATTGAGGATGTAACTGCTAACAAACGAAAGATGCAGGAGTTAGAGGACAATTTGCTGTACAAACTCAGCAGCACCAAAGGTTACTGCACACTCATGCCAGTTGTCTCGTCTTACATGTTATGATGTTCTGTCACTTTTCCTAAAAGAAACCGTGTCCCATTCAAGGTTCTTTGGTTGATGATGACTCCATGATTGGCATTCTGAGCACGACTAAGCAAACTGCTGCTGAAGTCAGTACAAAGCTCAGCATTGCAGCTGAAGCAGAGATAAAGATCAATATCGCACAAGCAGAATATCGTCCGGTTGCCTCTCGAGGCAGCATACTGTACTTCCTCATCACAGAGATGAGCATGGTCAATATCATGTACCAGACCTCCCTGGGTCAGTTCCTTAAAATCTTCGATCTGTCACTGGCAAGGTACGGTTTCATGATGGTTTAAGAGACCCCACCGCAGAATTTTTGAGATGAAAACTCCATTACTAAAACATAAGCTTTATTTGTGAAATCAGTGTTGCTCTCTATGTCTTCGCCTCTAACATGTTTTCATTTGGGTGCTTTTGCAGGTCTGAGAAGTCCTCCAAAACTCAGAAGCGAATTGGAAACATTATTGAATATCTGACATTTGAGGTTTTCAGATACACTGTAAGGGGCCTTTATGAAAACCATAAGTTCATCTTCACGCTCTTGTTGGCTCTCAAGATTGACTTACAGAATAATAGAATAGAACAAAACAAATTTCAGATTCTTATCAAAGGTAAGCTGAATATCACCACTAGGAAAAAGTTGAATTTTCTTGTGACGTTTAGATGGCTACTGATATTATGGTTGATACCAATAGGTGGTGCAGCTCTAGACCTGAAGACCTGTCCACCAAAGCCATTCTCTTGGATCCTGGATATGGTATGGCTAAACCTGGTTGAACTCAGCAAACTGCCACAGTTCGCTAACATCATAAACCAGGTAAGCCATAGCTTCAGTGTGCACATCTGAATTCTTCATCTGCTGGCAGTTTCATCAGGTTAGCTGTTGATTCGGTTTGTAGGTGCCCCAAAATGGGAAAAACTGGAAAGCATGGGCCAATCTTGATGCCCCAGAGGAAGGCGTTATTCCAGATGCATACAACTCTCTTGATGTCTTCCATAAACTTTTGTTGATAAGGTTATTGGACCCTTACTGGAATTTTGCTTGGGTTTGAATACAACGTATGATAGAATACATTAAACAGACAAGCTTTTTCTCTCACAGGTCTTGGTGCCCTGATCGCACCTTGTGTCAGGCCAGAAAATATGTGGAAGACTCTATGGGCGCAAGATTTGCTGAGCCTGTCATCTTGAACCTTCACACAACCTGGGAGGAAAGTGATCCTCGTACCCCACTAATATGCTTCCTTTCTATGGGCTCAGATCCCACAGACCAAATAGAAGTTCTTGCCAAGAAACTTAATCTAGGTGAGTTTGCTTTTCCTACTGAAAAATCTTTTGGTTAGTTCTGGTTACATATGCAAACCGGTTTTGCTCCAAGAAAAGAACCCAGCTTTTGTTTTGTATGTAATGTAATGTAATGTAATGTAATGTAATGTAATGTTTTGTATGTAATTATGCCCTCTGCATGTTACCTACTAAAATATTATCCATTTTATATTAACATTCTTATATTTTGGCTTTTAAAATTCTTCTAATTGAGAAGTACATGGTTTGATCTTTGGTCCTTTTTCAACAACTCATTGTTTTATTATGTTACAAAGATTGCCATGTGTTGTACAGCACACATACACATTTGTCATGTTCAGTCCATGTAAACACTCCCATTGTTTTGTTTTATAGAATGCAGAGCTATATCTATGGGACAAGGACAAGAAGTGCATGCAAGGAAGCTTATTACTACGTCAATGAGAGAGGTGCTTTCAGAAGTCACAGAAGTCAAATTCACACACGTCTGTAACAATAAACAGTGACTTAGGATATGACTTAACTAAGTCATGATTGACTCGGCTAAGTCAATCATGACTTTGTGACTCCAACACACACTTTTGAGAAGTTATTTGTGTTTAAAAACACTTGAATCAGCTAATGCGTTTACTTTATCTGTGGTTCTTGTGTCTGGAAACGGACAGGGGGGTTGGGTTCTTCTACAGAACTGTCACCTGGGCTTGCTGTTCATGGATGAGCTGCTGGAAACAATCACAGTTGCAGAGACCATGCATGACTCTTTCAGAGTGTGGATCACCACAGAACCACACGATCTATTCTCCATAACACTCCTACAGGTGAGACTTTTTCAGTCACACGTTACTTTACAAATATGTTTTGACGTCTCCAGACATGTTGAAAAAGTGAATGTCTTTCTCCTTTTTACCTTCAGTCTTCCATCAAGTTTACCAACGATCCACCGCAGGGAATCCGTGCTGGTTTGAAACGAACGTTTGCAGGAATTTCACAGAACCAGCTGGAAGTCAGCAACCTGCCCACATGGAAGCCTTTGCTGTACAGCGTGGCCTTTTTACACACCGCTGTGCAGGTACTGAGAATGCTTACTTCACTTGGGTTGTCGTGGATATGACAGGAAATGGTAAAAAATGATGGTAAAACGAATCATTCAAGCCTGATGCTTACTACAGAGGGTAACTAGACTGACAAAAAAAGAAGCCCTGACAAAAGGCCTACTTCGTTCTTTGACTGTTTCTTGTTCACTTGATTATCAGTAAAAAAAACATATTTGTATTTTCAATTTTTCAATTTTCATAATCCAGCTAGAAAAATATTTCTCCTCATTCCTAAAATGAGCTTGTGAATATGCATTTATTGGACAGTCTTCAGTGATTTCTATTGAAGAACCCTTTTTGTTACTTTTTCTGCTCCAGTATAAGATCACAATTAGAAGTCATTAGAGCTGGTGTCATTTGCTGCACTGGATTACTGGATTTTATGTGGTTATCTTGTGTGTGTTTTTTTTTTCTTTTTGAAGGAACGCCGTAAATTTGGACCCTTGGGCTGGAACATACCTTATGAGTTCAATTCAGCTGATTTCTCTGCAAGTGTTGAATTTGTTGAAAGACACTTAGACGATTGTGGCCCGAAAAAGGTGAGCGTTTTTCAGCCCTCCTTTAGCATTTTTCCGACGTCCTCCCTCACTCGCTAACCTCTTTTGTTTGTGTTTTCTTTCACAGGATGTGTCATGGGTGACCTTGCGATACATGCTAGCCGAGGTTCAGTACGGAGGGAGGGTCACAGATGACTACGACAAGCGCCTGCTGAAGTGTTTTGCTCGGGTAATGATCCCAGTTTTGTTTTTTCTCCCTCGTTACAACTCCTTTTTGCATTTGATGCAGCATGTGAAACTGGGTGTTCTTAATTACAGGTGTGGTTCAGTAAGAAGATGTTTGACCCAACATTTTGCTTCTACACGGGCTACAAAATTCCTGTGTGTAAGACAGTGGAGGAGTACATGGAGAACATTCAGAGCTTACCCACCGCGGACTCACCACAGGCATTGGGGCTGCATGCTAACGCTGATATCACGTAAGGAGCAAGTGTCGTCAGTGTGGAGTGTTAAAACTGGTAATAGTGTGTCTGTACTTTCATTCCTGTTCCACATTAAACGTTGACTAGATACCAGACAAACACATCTGCTGAAGTGTTGGACACAATCACAAATATTCAGCCCAAGGAAAGTGGAGGGGGATCCGGGGAGACTCGGGAGTCCATCGTTTACAAGATGGCCGAGGACATGCTGGAGAAGTTACCCCCTAACTATGTGCCGCATGAGGTCAGTTTTAGGATCACTCAGATTTCATTCACTCTGTGTTTGCACATTCTAAATCTAAACTCATTGGCTTAAGGTCAGAGCCAGGCTGATATCGATGGGAGCTCTGAACCCAATGAACATCTTCCTGCGTCAGGAGGTGGATCGAATGCAAAGGATCATCTCTGCGGTGCGCACTAGTCTGACTGACCTGAAGCTGGCCATCGATGGCACAATAATAATGAGCGACGTAAGATTTCTGATTGCCCCCAACAATTCACAAACAAGCTGCGATTTTTTTTCAGCGTTCATGACTGATTTTACCAAAAAGTTTATTTATTTGGCTTCAACATGTTTTAAAACGTCTGATCTTTACATTGACCACAGAACCTTCGTGATGCTTTGGACAATATTTTTGATGCCCGTGTGCCAAACCTGTGGAGGAAAATTTCCTGGGAGTCTTCCACTCTGGGCTTTTGGTTCACAGAGCTCATTGAGAGAAACAAACAGTTCCATAGTTGGGTGTTTCAAGGAAGACCTAGAACATTTTGGATGACGGGTTTCTTTAATCCTCAGGGTGAGTTATTGGTTTTGTTGGATTGAAGGATTTCACACTAGCTAAAAGAAAGCCTTTGGTCTGTGATTTTACCGGTTAGGAACCCTGGTGTTGTGAGCATGATGGAGCCGACACATCGTAGAAAGACTTACAGAAGCTCCTTATGAGATTTAATGTTTGGATAAATGTTTCCAGGGTTCTTAACAGCTATGAGACAAGAGGTAACCAGGGCGAACAAAGGCTGGGCCCTGGACACAGTCACGCTGAACAACAAAGTGTTGAAGCAGGCTATGGAGGAAATCACAGCCTCCCCAACAGTGAGTCAGACGCCAAGTTTTTGTCTTGCTGTCGACGCGAAAGGAACTTAATACATGCTGTTGTTTCCCTCGGCAGGAGGGAGTTTACGTCTATGGCTTGTTCCTGGATGGGGCTGGTTGGAACAGAAAGAACATTCATCTCATCGAGTCTTCGCCCAAAGTGCTTTTCACACCTATGCCTGTCATCCACATGTATGCCATCAAATCCACAGCTCCTCCAGATCCTAAGCTGTATGCCTGCCCCATCTACAAGAAGCCGAGGCGTACAGACCTCAACTACATCACAGCAGTGGTGCTGCCCACGGTCGAGCCCCCAGACCACTGGATCCTACGTGGGGTTGCCCTGCTGTGTGACATCAAATAATACACAGCCGCATTTCATGTTGAATTTTTAATGATAATAATAAATGTTTTATTTTCCATCAAAACCCAATCTTTGATTTAACGTTTTGACAAATTAACATTTAGGTTAGATGATTTATTTTTCTCTTGTATATGAGGTTGAACTTTTTGCCTGGTCCTTTGCTCACTGAGATGACTCTGAATCCATTAATATTATACACAGATGTAGATGATGTTATAAAAGTCTTTATAAGTGCTGTATATTTACATAATGCATCATTGCATCATTTAAGTGACTGCCTCTTTAAACTGCTTTTGATATATATGTTTCAAAAAGCAGTCTGTCTTTGGACAGATATGATGGCAAAGCCGTCATGTAAATTTAACATTTCCTTCTCAGCACTGACAAAGTTTTTCATTTTTCATTGTTGGCAACCATTGGTTAAAATGAACACAATAGCAATAATATTTGCTGAAGGCCAACTCTTAAGGCTCTTCTTAAAATATATGGAATTGAATCCCAAGAAATTAGAATACACAGCTGTCCAACGACTAAAATCTTAACTATCAAAACTAAATTCATCTTTCTAGTTCGTATAATTTTTACACCACAACTTTTTAGTTTGTGAATTTTTAAGTCACATTTGTATTATTTAATACGTTTTTTTAACACAATACATCGCTTTTGGTAAAATATCTCCCTTCCACAGCTCTATAATGTTAATACGTGGTCCCTCAAAAGCTCCAGCATCTCTTTTGTTACCATGGAGATCAGGCCAGCGACCGTCCACTTGACAGTCACATCGTGTGACAGGAATGGGAGGGGTCAACGTACGCAGTGTTCATTGGGCGCATCTGTATGACGTCACCGGAATGGAATGCAAATCAAAAGAATTGCTTCGGCGCACTTCGGCTCCGCTGGTCTGGTCTGTCCGACTCTGTTGGGCTCTACGAGCCACCGTCCAGAAATATATGTAGTAGCTGGAATATCGGAAGCGACACCGAAGGCATCGGGCGTCTGGAGGCTGCGAGACCTACGAACACGGTAAGTCGACAAACCTTTCGATTCTTGGCTTGGGACCAGTCGCTGTTTGTGTGTCTGTGTGTCGGAACTCACGAGGTTAATCGGTCACGCGGGCTAATGTCCCCTCGCGGCCCCAAAGCAGCAGCAGCAAGCATTTGTTTCTAGCTTTTCCTGCTAATGTTGACGTTCGTTTCACGGTCAACTTTAAGCGACACGCTCCCGTGAAGCAACAAAATATGATTACTTTGACGAGCAGAGCCTCCACTGCAGCTGACACAAAACCCGGCGGCAGAATAGAAAAAGAAAATAGCTCTGAATGAACGTTAGCGCGTGGAGGAAACGCTTAAACGTAATATTGTAGGTTGGAGTGGGAATTGTGTCCTTCCTGTGGCTGTCCTCTGCTGCTGGTTAAACTTAGCCATGTGCTGAGACTACTTGAGGCACTCTGTAGCTTGAATGCGCTTGTGGTCCAGGAGTTGGCTTATTTTCTATTTATTGTTACTTTCAATAGCTCATGTGTCAGAATTTTACCACATCATGACATGCAAGGTTTTTTCAATTAACTCTTTAGTACAGTTTATGTCACAGCATCTCTCTTTATCAAAGCTTTAAAGGTACTAGTTTGCCTAAAAAGAGGAAAACAAATGCACAGATATAATAGTTAACAGTTAATTAAACGAATATTAGATTTCTATAAGGGTATTTCTCTATAGATATGGTGTAATGTCTATTTTGAGTTCCCTCAATCATGGTCAACTGGTGGCTCCAGTGTATAACAACATCATTTTTTTACTTATAACAACAGATATAACGGTTTTTAAGTTTCATGATCCATGCGCAGGACCAGAAATCTGCAACACTTACAGAGAGTTTTGATAATGGATCAGTGCATTTGTGGATGATTGAGTGCATCTAATCCGGCAGAAGCCGCTGATCAAATGTATTTAAAGACTTTAACTCATTCACCATCTATCAGAAGGGAATCGGACACATTGGTGTAGTAAGGCGGGGCACCGGTGATGACACTTGCCCCTTTCATAGAATACACACTGTTATTCATACACAGAGCATCTTCTTGGAATTGATATTAAGGCCTAAAAAAAAAAAACATGGCTTCAGAAAAGGTGTGGAGGGTTTTGATTTTCTAAGCCCAATAAGATGCCCATTTAGCGGGTTGTGTCTATAATTTAGCTCTTGGGTTTATGGGTTCATCTTTCATTCAGCTCCATATTCATCTCCAAACAACCAATTTGAATGTTTTTCTTGGGATAGTGGCGCCCCCCCCCCCCCCCCCCCCAAGACTACTGGAACAGGAAGGGATGCCATTTGACCTTCGGACAGGATGTGATGCACCGCAGTCTTCTGTTGAGCATGAATAATAGAGTTTGTTATGAGTGACTGGACCACAGGAGTCGTCTCTAAACGTGGACGGGCAGGCTGAGCCTCCAGCCGCTGAGCAGACCGGTCAAATGGATTTATCATGTCTACCCGCGTGGGCAGTTTGTGTTCTGTACGCTTTTGAGCGGTTTTGATTGGCCCGATGTCGAGTTGGATCTTGAGATATTTGTTTTTTTTTTTTGTATGGGTTTATTTTTGGACCAGTGCTAAGGGCCATTAATAGCTGTTACTGCTAGATAATGTTGTGATCGGCACCAAAGGTCAGCTCCTCATCCTTCAAGCTACTTAGTCAGCTCATGTAAAGGGATTTCTGTAACAAAAGAAAAAAGCAGCAGGCTAAAGATGCAGGCTCTCCTTAAAGCCACGGGGGCTAATAGCCGGGGCCCGTATCCACTTAAAAGCCTGGCGAGCCCCTCTTAGGGACACAGTGGGTCCTTTTAAACTCAGGACCACAGCCAGACAAACATCACTTTCACATCTTTTTTCATTAGCGGACACCTGATCCAGTGGGGTCAGCTCTCATTCAAATGAACAACTCTGGGCTTTTCAATTAGCTTTCTGAGGCGGCCCATTTGCTTATCTCACCGGAGACGGAGAGCCGCATGCTTTTTACGGTCATTTTCAGACCATAGAGCTCCAGCGCTCATCTGGACCCTCCTTATTTTCACTTCCCTCCCGAGCGACGATCCACTGGATGCAACCCCCGGTGGGTTTCTCCAGCCTTCGATGCTTGTTTGTTTTATTCATTAATGAAAGAGCAGCAAAGCAGGCCGAGCTTGTGTCCGTTTAATCCTCTCCAGATGTGAGCACGGTGCCCCATAAATGACTTTGTATAGGTGTCCACCCCCTTTGGCATCTTTGTTTGGCTGCATGAAAGCCCAAAAGGGAGGCGAGCCCTCGGTTGGGATGTCACCACTTCAAATCAAAGCATCAGATGATGCCTGTGTACTGAAAACCTGTTGGGACAGGTCACATTTCACACAACTTTACAGTAGACCAGATGTTTAAGGCTTGCTTTAGCTTCTTTTCCCCCTTCGGGTCCGGCTTCTTCTGTCCTCGGCGTGAATGATCCTCCCTGATGAAGGGGAGTCTGTGGTCCCTGTGCGGTCCAGACCAGGTGGAGGTAACGCCGAAGCTTTGAAAATGCTCCCAAGGAGCCGGCTCGTTGCTGGAACAACACCACTGGAGCAGCTGATGTCCGTTTAAGTGAATTGGGGTGCTTTTTGAAGCCCGGCCGGTCAGGCTCTCGCCTTTCACGCTGCTCATATCCTCGTTTTTTTCCCGTCTGTGTGAAGGCCCGCTGAGAGTGCTGCACGGTGGAAGTCCGCAGGGCTCTCCGGAGCAATTTAGCCACGTTATTTATAGAGCGCAGAAGGAGTGCCCCCCCCTCACCCTCCTCACCCTCCCACCCCAGCCGCTCCGCAGAAGGCTCAGCAACCCAACTCCTCTTTGTTTCTCATGGGCCAGAAGTTTTCTCCTTTCCGAGCGAGACTCGGGAGTCAAGTGGCGGTGCTTTGCACCGTGACGGCGGGGTGGGGCGAGGGGGGTGGGGGGCACGCGTGGGGGGGGTGCGGCGCGTGCGGCACACTCGACCTGGAAGACAGCCAGATGCCTTTGTGCCGGTCCACTCGGCTGTGGAAGCCCAGACAGACGACTCAATTACAGACCCCCAGCCAATTCCGCCTCGGGATCCGGAGGGGGGGTGGGGGGAGTTTGGGGTTATCTCTTAACAAAGGCCCCCGTCCTGCGTCCGTCCACAACCTATAGCCTCAATGCAGAATCTCAGCATCACTAAAGAGGAAACGATGCTTTGCGAAAGGATACGTTTTTAAAAATATCGTACATGTTGACGGTTATAGCCCTCGGTGGGCTGCATCTCTTTGGCGTTCACACAAGGACCGGGTGTCATTGGCGATGTCGCGTTTCAGTATCTTAAACGGCTCGTTATCTTCTCGCATCAGTAGTTTGTCATTTGTCAGCAGTTTTCACCATAATTCCCAAGAATTCTGGTTAAGGCCACGGCTCCCGCCAACGGGAATCGTCGTGCAAAGGCTCATGTCACAATGTCCAGTCATCAGTGGATTTTGGTCTAGCTGTGCCTCCACCATGCTTAAGACCATCCAGACCGTTTCCAGGTGTTGTTCCAAGACGGTGGAGCGACCTACCAGGCGCTACAAGAACAGCAAAGTCCCAGTCTGTCTTCAGGAAACTCCTACAGACCCACCTCTTCAAAGAGCATCTCCTATTCTAACTCCTACCCATACTTCTATACCCCCTCTGCTCCTTTATCTGTGCTTCCCTCTATCTCCTCGCTGTCACCGCTGACCCTGACTGGGGATTTTCCTCTAGAGAGCTTATAGTCAGACTATTGATAACCATAACATCGTCTACTTTTTAAGATAAAAGCGTCTAAATGCTAAAACATAAACAAGATTAAAAGGTCTGGTCCATTTCTGTCTTTTCAATCCCCCCCCCCCCCTTTCATTTTAACAAGTTTGAACTTTGACCACAAAATTAATGAGTCTGGCAGGCAGATCTTTCAGCCGCCCTGTGGGATTGAATGTAGGCCCTCCTCACCGCGTAAAGGAGGCCGCTCATTGTTCGACCCGCCCCAGATAATCTATTCGGCCCCTCCGGGCGGCGGGGGTGATTGGCTTTTTTCAAAGGGCTCATGTTTAGTGAATTTTCCAGCAGCGATCGCCGCCCATCCCGGCTTCTCCCGTCGTTTGGATCCCCGACACGCCGTTCCTTCGTGGTGCTGAACCCCTCTGCCGCGCAGCTCCGCCAGCCGAGCCCGAGGCTCCGGGACGGCCTACCCCGGCTGCATCGCCGGCTAATCTAAATGCTAATGAGAAGATGATAATCAATGAGGTTCACGCACGGCCGGCCCCAATCAACGGCGCACGGCGCCGGCAAACGACTCAAGATGGCTACATTTCATACATCCAGACACTTAGCCGGCGCATTAATAGGGGGTGGGCATACCATAAGCATGCCATTATCCTCGGCTTTTATCCAGCCTATTCCACATAAACGTCATTAAAGAGAGATTCGAATCCAACTATGAAGCTATCTCATCTCCCGCTTTTTCTTTCTTTTATGGGGGCTTGCATTTCCCAGCTTGTTTTCGTCTCTGATTGGTTGGAGCCGGTGTCCTTTTTTTAACCTCCTTTTGGTAGGTTCTGATTTATCTGCTTTTTCTTTTTTTTATGCCGCCATGAAGCAGCTCTGTTTAAGATTTGGGGGGAGGAATACTGTGCTGTCACCGAGGATAAGCAGGCGGCCCTGGCCTCCTGAAACGGGTCACCGTTTGTTTTCGTGCCCAACACCTGTGCCAGGGACCGCCCCGCTGACTGAGAGATGGAGAAAAAAGGGAGCTCTTTTCCTCTCGCGTGAAACGGCCAGAATGAATCTGGACTCGTAAATTTCACGACGGATTCGCGTGATTAGCCGTCGGCGGAGGGTCCGAGCGTTCAGAAAGCAGCACCAGAGAGGGAGGAGAGAGAGACACACAGGGAAGTCATTATTACCGTCACCTTCATTAGAGCGGATCCCGTCGTCCAATCGGCACGCGGCCGCGCACGGGGGGATTCCGCGAGCGCCCCGTTGGCTGTCGCTAGGATACGACATAATCAGGGGGCAGGCCGCGGCCCTGGTTGGTAGAGCCGAGTGTTGATGCCGGGACGACGAAGCTCGCCAGCGGGTTGGGGGGTAGACAAGAGGGGCTGGGGGTCCGGACGGAGCGCACAGACCCCCTCGCACTCGCTCCGCGTGTCAGCCCGCGCGCCGCCGGCCCCCCTAACGCAGACAAAGAGCACCAGCATCCAGCCGCATAGGACCGCACGC